GTGGGTTGCCTCATGTACCTGATGACTTGCACTCGTCTAGATCTCGCATACCCTCTCAGCATCCTGGCTCGCTTCATGGCGACAGGTAGACACCGACCACAGCACTGGTCGACAGCTAAGAGGGTTTTGCGTTATCTAGCAAGTACATCGGGCATGTGGCTAGTGCTAGGAGGACGCAGGCCAGTGGTCCTGACAGGGCATACGAATACTCCGTTGGCCGACGACCCTCAGATGCTCAGGTCCTCTCAGAGCTACTGTTTTAGCGTTGGTGCAGGCGTTGTCTCGTGGAGGTCCACCCGCTCATTGTCTGTTGCACAATCTAGCTGCGAGGCTAAGATCTACGCTGGTGCCATGGCGACACAGGAGCTCCGTTGGCTGACGTTCCTGCTCACAGACTTAAGTGAGCGGCCTAGCTCTGCCCCGGTCCTGTACGCTGACAACAAGGCCATGATCCTCCTGTGTCAGGAGCCTCGACTGGAGGGCAGAGCGAAGCACATCTAGCTACGGTACTTCCTCCTGAGTGTCTCTTGCCAGACACCGCCCCTTGTCTAGCCTAGGGGGTGTGTCGATATATATTTGTATATGTTATAGGCTATAAAAGTGCATGCTCATAGAGGGTACAGCACCGTAGCACAAAACCTCCCTGTATGGCACAATCTAGTTCATTGCGTTATTCTAACATTTGTTACCGTTGTTTTAAGGTTCTTTTTATGTTTCGAGCTTAATGTAGCTTCAAGTATGTCTACTATCGAGAATTTGCTTTGTCAAGGTTCAGAAGTGTCTTTGTTTGCCAGACTCTGCATCAAATCGGGTGTGGTGATGAAACGGGGCCTTGCGACGCCTTGCGAAAAGGGTGCGACCGTGCGAATGCCTAGCGACATGCCTACGTGGACCTTGTCGCAGCTACCGACATCGTCCCTGCCCCTGCCAGCTGCGCATACGACAGCGCTCCTTTTTGGAAACGCTACAGGCAAATTTGCCCGGGGCGTACCGCACTATTTGCTAGCTAAGTGCCTCATTCCAAAGTTCTTGGAGTTTGCTCTACGGGAATAGGACCTGTATAGAGGTTGGTCGCATGAAGCGAATTTCACTGTTCACCACGTGGGTCTCGCGTAAAAGTGGCACCAAACCGCTAAGGTCAGGTTCTGTTTTTTTTTTTTCCTTTTACAAAAATTTCCAGTATGTTTCAGTCATTTTGAATATCAATCGTATATGCCAAGTTCAAGAGGAAATCAAAGAGGAATCTTGATTGCAATTTTAGCCACTGTCTTTAAAATAATAGGCAGAATTGAGAAAGCTCGCTACTTGTAGTGCAAATGGCATCGTTCTCATTCCACTGCAAATGGCATCGTTCTCATTCCACTGGCATCAAGTACAAAGAGTTCACAATATATTCATCTATTAGCATAAACTTTCTAAACTATCTACACTGGGATATGTCTATGCCGAGGATGATCCACCGAAGCGGTGCATGTTGAAGAGAGTAGACGAAGCGGGTTGGGTGGGCGGGAATTGAACTTGAGCTGGGAAAGATGAAAAACGTGGGTGGAGAAAGAATGACCTCCAACCCCATTATATGGCTGGAGAAGGGCGAATAGCGCGCTTCGACGATGCCTTAGATTGCGTTACAAGCAGCTTCGCATTCACAGTACACAATTTTGAAAGTGTGAACACTTTAAAATTTTATATATTGAGAAAGTTCGCTACTTGTAGTGCAAATGGCGTCGTTCTCATTCCACTGGGTTGACCTGAGACATGGAGGGAGATGGCTGTCGGTGGCGTACAAGAGCTCGAGAATGTTGTGCCGGGGATGGTGCTGACCCGAGGGTCTGTACGTTGCGGGAGGCCGCAACCAGTTGGTCGACGGCGGGTGTGACGTACATTTCTTTGGCCGTGTCGCTGTGCCATCGGCCAAGACGTTTGAAGAGCCGGTCCGCTACGCCTCCGTGGGCAGCGACGGTCGCAGCGCCTTTGCGAAAGGAGTGGGTGTTGAGGTGATGCTCACCCAGGCCGATGGACTGGAAAGCCTCCTTGCACGAGTTGCGTATGATGGTGTATGATGGCGGCTTGCTGGTGGGGACGCCACCTGCGACCACGCCGAACACCCGGATTAAGGGTCCGGGAGTGGTGGGTCCATAGCCTGCCAACCGGATGAAGTGTTTGGTGCATCGGACAGGGCAGAGGGGTCCTGGGATGGCAGCAACAGGAACCCATGAGCCCTGACCTGCCTGGTCCGTTTTGGAGCGTGGGATGAGCAGCCACATTACGTCATCCTCAAACTGGATATCCTCCCAGTTGATGGCCACGAGATCGGAGTAACGCAAAAATCCGACGTACATGAGAAGGGGAATGAGACCTTTCTGGAATGTGGCTGGGTCGTTAGCACCGATGAAGTGAGTAGCCATCTCATGCACTTGATGTAAAGAGACCGGTTCCTTGGTCCGATTGGGCCGGGGACACTGTCGCTTGACGAATTCTCGAACTTGTGACGTGAAAGGGCCAGTGCTGGGGCAGGATGCCCCAATCATGCGGTGAGCGAAGCTGACGGCCGAGCATGTGAATTGTATCAATGAGAGAGTGGCCTTGTTTCGAATTGCATAGACAAGGTACAAGGCGAGTGTCATGTCCGCGGTTGGCAGGAAGGGAAGGTTGACCTTGATGCAGAAGGAACGAAACTGCTGCCAGTAAGGTTCGTAAGTTCGAATTGTGGAGTGTGCGCGCGTTTGTGCCATGACCGAGAGCAGCTCGCGTTACAGGGTTGGGATTAGATCTGTTTGCGATACAGGCGGGGAGGCAGACATTAGGGAAACGTGACTTGCAGAGCAAGCATGAGGCTATCAGGTAGACCAGAGCCGGAGAAGGCGCTAGTGTGCGTGCCTGGGGCTAAGCATTGGCTTCCGTACGTGAGTCGGATGTGAGCTTTGATGGGGCTAGCCCAGGCTGGCGGTGAGAGTTGGAGGAGTGGCCACCAGCTGGCGCCGGGCCAGTGGGGAAGTACCAGGGTGAGAAACGCGTGTGTACGTTGCGCATGGTTGAGGACGGCGGGGATCAGTTGAGGTGGGGGGAAGGCAAAGCCATGTTCTGCCGACCAAGAGATTGTGAAAGCGTTGATCGCCGTAGCAGCAGGGTGCGGGTTTTCGGAACAGAAACGACGCAGCTTGGCGTTGCTAGCATTGGCGAAGAGATCAATGGAATGGGGACCCAAGCGCCGATCAAGGATGTTGAACCACGGCGTTTTCAGCGTGTAGTCATCGCGATCGAGGATCTTGGAAAGCTCGTCCGCATGTGTGTTGAGTTCGCGAGGGATCCACTCCATCATGAGGCGGACTCGGTGGGTAGTACACGTGCGAATGATCTCCTGGCAAGCGATGGTGAGATCAGAGTTGTGTGAGCCACCCTTCTTCAATATGAAGAAAACTCCCTGATTATCCACTCGTACGAGCACATGCTTGTTTCCGAGTAGGTCGCTGTATGTCCGCAGTGCCCATAGAACCCCTTCAATCTCTCGATGGGTACTGGACGTGTGTCGCAAAGCGGCGGGCATGTTCATGCTGGCTTCATCAAGGTTGCCAGAGAACGTGTTGAGAGTAGCCCCCCAGCCGTGGCTGCTCGCGTCGACGTGAATTACTGCGTCGTAGCTACAGCGCATATGAAATGGGGCGCCGTTGAAGTGGTCAAATCCAGTTGACCAGAATTCCAACTCCTCGCAGGCGATAGGTGAGAGCAATACTCTGCTGTTCCAACAGGGAGCGTTGTTGATGGTCTGCAGCAGAGCGTGGCTGAATGCCTTGGCAGTGGCCCCAAGCGCAAGAGACATCGGAGCAAGCATACCAGTAACCCGCGCAACGTGCCAGACGGGGACCTTGGACTGGCTGCGTCCGGCTTCTAGGAGCGACTGGATAGTAGCCTGCAGTGTGGCCCGCCGTTCCGGACCCACAGAGAATTGGCCGAGTTCGGTATCGAGTTCCAAGCCCAGGAAACGTAAGCGCTGGGTTGGTTGAAGGTGGGATTTCTTGGCGTTGATCACGAGGCCCGCCTTGCAAAGATCACCGATAATGTGGGTGCAAGTTTCCCATGCGTCGGCATCCGAATGACAAAGAAAGAGGATATCGTCCACATACGGTATGACACGCACTCCCATTGTTCTCCAGCGGCACGCGAGTTGCTTGATCAACTGTGTGAAGATGAACGGTGCTGTAGCCAGTCCGAACGGAAGGGAGCGGAAACAGTATGAGTGCCCGCCAAATTGAAAACCCAGGAATTTCCAACACGACGGGTGAATGTCGACGTGGTAATAGCCAGACTTCAGGAAGATTGAAAACATCCAATCGCCTGCACGCGCCAACTCTGCGATGCGATTGAGTCCCTCGTACTTGAATTTTGGAATTTGCAGCTCCTGGTTGACCTTGCGCAGATCGAGGATTAGACGACATTTGTCGCGCTGTTCCACGACGTTGAGAGGGCTGACGCATGTGAGCGTTGGTTCTGGCACCTTTGCTGCGGCGCCGGTTTGGAGGAGATCCGCGATGGCGGACTTCGTAAATGCCTCCTGAATTTGGGCCCTCGCATGATTGGTGCTCCGGAAAAATTGTGGGGGCCCTTGTTTCCAAGGCATCCAGTAGCCTCTGTCAATTACTGATATGATCAAGCTACTGGTGCACCACGAACGCCACCAGGGTAGTGCGTCTCTCAGGCGCCCGCGCATGGTTGAGACCGTCCAGTCCGTCACTACGTATTCGAAGGGATCACCAAGCCCCGTGAGGTCATGTGTGAGTAGTTCTGCAAATGGAATCCAACGAAAAGATGGGGTAAGGATCGTAAATGCTGGGCAAAGTGAGCGCGAAGTCCACCAAACGTGATCATGAGCATACTTTTTTTTTTTTTTTTTTTAAGCCAAGGATGTGTCTATGAAGGCTACTGCATGACACGATATGAATCCAAGGGACTAGGCCAATGGGTATCTGGCCCGGCAGCCGGTCGCATGCTGCGCCACCGCGCATGCGCTTTCGATGTTGCTGTCTCACGTTCGGGCTCTCTCACCCCTTCTCTCTCTCTCTCTCTCTCTCTCTCTCTCTCTCCTCTCTCTCTCTCTCTCTCTCTCTCTCTCTCTCTCTCCTCTCTCTCTCTCTCTCCCCCTCGCTCTCTCTCTCTCTCTCTCACTCTCCCTCTCGCTCTCTATCTCTCTCCCTCTCTCTCTCTCTCTTTCTTGCCCTCTCTCTCTCTTTCCTCTTTCTCTCTCTCTCTCTCTCTCTCTCTCTCTCTCTCTCTCTCTCTCTCTCCTCTCCCTCTCTCTCTCTTTCTCTCTCTCACTTTCTCTCTCTCTCTCTCTCTCTCTCTCTCTCTCTCTCTCTCTCTCTCTCTCCTCTCTCTCTCTCTCTCCCCCCCCTCTCTCTCTCTCTCTCTCTCTCTCTCTCTCTCTCTCTCTCTCTCTCTCTCTCTCTCTCGCTCTCTCTCTCTCTCTCTCTCTCTCTCTCTTTTTCTCTCTCTTGCTCGCTTGCACCATCTTTCTCTTGCGAAGCATCGCATGTTCTAGTAAGCCAAATCCCTCCAATGGCTTATGAAAGAGCATGCGATGGGACGGAAGCTAGGCTAGTTATGTGCCTCGCGCTAGACATTGTAGGCCCAACAAAGTGTTTGGCCGCACCCGTTTTTTTGTTGTGCCTTCTTCTGGTTTAGGCTTGGATGGCAAGGGTACCCAAGATAGGTTCCTAGGCTCCAAAGACGGAGCTGCCTTGTGAGGTCCCAAGGCATTGTGAGGCCCTTTTTTTTTGTTTTTCCAGATTGGGGTTCTCAATGTTATTTTAAGAAAGGAGATCATCAGGAATTGAAAAAGCTTGGCCCATGAGCTTCGAGTCTCAAGCCTTGGCCACTATCCAACAAGGATTCTAGCTTGTCAAAAAAAAAAAAAAAAAAAAAGTGATGAAACGAAAAGAACCGGCACCTCCAAGGGTGCCACTACGAGGTAGGTCAAAAAATGTTTACCCCCCCTTGGGGCTTGGCCCGCGGCCTATACTCATACCCTCTATCGGGTTTGGCCAGCGGCCTTTGCATTCTACTTCCCAGCGAGGGAATGGCCAGCGGCCCTAAGCACCCCATGGTGCGGTGGCACCTACTCCGAAGTCCACAAAAAAAAATCCTCATACTTTTCACACAACGGGTGCGGGCCCTTGTGGCCCGCTCCCATTTCCAGTGTAGTTGTTCGCCGTGTGGCCCGACTGGCCACAGCGAAAGCAAGCGCCTCGGAAGCCCCTCTGGGCGCCGCTCGGTGGAGGGTCAAACTTCCCTCCAAAGCCCATAGGGCCGCGGCCTCCAACAGGATGGCCGCGACCATAGGAGCCTTGCGCGCGTTTCATTGCCGCAACGTCTGCAACTGCTTGCTTGAAGGGTCGTGAGGTGAGGACACTCTTCTCTTTGTAGAGCTTGAAGCGGTGTGCCGTCTTGAAGTCTGGGGCGTCGGCGACTTGGAGGAGCTCGAAGCGCTTGGCGATGAGCGCGTATGCCGCCTCGAAGTATTCAAGCGAGCTCGATGTGTCGCCGTGGCGCACCTTGTGCTCCGCGTGCTTCAGGTACGCTCGCAGGTCTTCCAGGAACTCGGCTTGCTCGCGTACCCCAGCGTTGTTGAAGGATGATGCCGGGATGGTTGGGTTAGAGAAAGGAAGAGGTGGGAGGTGCTCGGTGGGTGCGAAAAAAATTGCGTGTGTATGAGCCTCACCAGCCTCGTTGTCGGAGTCACTGTCTTCCTTGGCATTGTCTTGCGTGGCAGCGGCGAGCTCCTTCTCGACGCGGGCGGTCTTGGAAGGACGAACGTGACGCGACGACTCCTTTTTTGCGTCTTCAATTTTAGTCGAGGCAGAAATTGTAGTCGCAACTGCTGTAACCGCGGGTGTGTTTTGCTGTAACAGCGCCAGCAGTGCCGCCACTTGCTCGTTGGTCAAAGCAGGGGCGGCAGGTGTTGGCGCGCTGGGCCCGCCCTGCCGTTCGGCGCCTTCTGCGCGCTGGCGTCAGCAGGAGACGCGCCATCCGCAGCGCGCGTCTCCTGGCTGCTCGCTGGCGCGTGGCCCACCAAGCTCAACTTGGTGGACCTCGCCACTGCGCAGCAAACACGTCAAGGGCAGAAGGGGCGAGGTCACCCTCTGCCCGACGCTTGTTGCCGCGATCACCCGCCATTTCACGGGCGTTTTTCTTGGGTTCCGAATTGTTCGGAGTGTCGACGGGCGGATTTTCAGCACGATTGGCCGGGGTGCTAGGAGGGGCCATGGCTGCCTGGTTATGCGTAAGGATATCTGCGAGAAGCTGGGAGGGTGCTTCCCCGCGAGGGAGAGTTTTCAACTTCGCCAGAGTGGCGGAGCGAAAAAAAGCGGGATGGGAACTCAATTGAACTTGAGCTGGGAAAAATGAAAAACGTGGGTGGAGGAAGAATGACCTCCGACCCCATTATATGGTTGGAGAAGGGCGAATAGCGCGCTTCGACGATGTCTTAAATTGCGTTACAAACAGCTTCGCATTCACAATACACAATTTTGAAAGTGTGAACACTTTAAAATTTTATATTTTGTGGTTTCACAAATACAAACAAGGACTTTTATCCATAATAATAAAGGGCTTTAGGGATACTCGGTAGGAATCTCTATGCCATGGGGTTATCTATGGGATAATAAGTACAATTCCACCAGTATTGGTAGCTGCTGTAGTAACACTTCCGAGGACTGGCCTGCCAGCAGGAAGATTGAGCCTTGCAGGTTGCCCCACCACAGGGGGCAGCCTGGCAGCACATGCAGTTAGTGTAGCAAGCGTTGTAATTGGTGGTCCTCTGAGTGGTCGTACCCCAAGTGTAGCTGCAGTTAGCGTGCATTGCTGCTGGCATGTAGTTGCCCTGTAGTTGCAGCAGGGGCCAGTGACATCACCCGTGATCATGGCACAATCTGAAGATACTGTAGGAGCCCATGTGGGATACGGGCAGATGGCTTGCAAGCACCCGTAGCCAGCCAATGGAGCCAAGCCCATGCGATTCTGGCACGCAGTTGCCACACGCACTGCCACAATCGCTGATAGAGCTGGCCTGCGGAAGACCATAGTTGCACAGCGCGTCACAGTAGGAAGGGTATATGACCATGTCGTACCCACAGATTGGAATGGATGGTGCACAGCCACAATCCACTATACCGATGCGGCCAATACAGGGGATGATCAGCTGCGTGCCAGGCACCAGAGGGGCGGTTAGATTGGCGATGAAGTTCTGGGCGCCGATGGACGCGGCAGAGACAGACGTGGGAGTGCAGCGGGACTGGTAAGCAGAGGAGATGGTGGTGGAGAGTTTGGCCGGACTGGACGGTGTGGGTGATGTAGGAGACGTTGGGAGCTTTCTGCATGTTGATCAGAAGGGGTGAGTTGATGCAGACCTGCTGCCCGACGGCAAGGTAGGGAGCCTGGCACTGCAAGGGGGACGGAGGGGCATAGGAAATAACGAGGCGGAAAGAGTCAAGGAGCCTGGCACTGGAGGGGACAAAAGAGATAGAAGAATAAAAGAGGCTGAGGTGAAATGTGGTGGTACTCTAGACTGAAATTGATGGTGAGGAACATGGATATGGTGGTATGTCAGGCATGTGAGAGGCACGTATGGGCATGTGTGAGTGTTGAAGTGGTTACCTGGATGCCAGGGTTGACGGCGAGCAACATGGACATGGTGGTATGGGGTGATACAGGGGGCTGTAAGGGGCGGTGCCTGAGGTTCTAAAAAGGTTACCTGGATGCCCGGGATGATGGCTTGACAGGGGGGGAGGAGGCATTCACCTGGATGCCGGGGTTGATGGCGAGGAACATGGACATGGTGAGGTTGGCTGCATTCCAGATGGAGGGGCATGTGTCGCCCTGCATCACACTGTACCACCCAGTGCAGTTGATGGTCGTCTGGAAGAGAAAAAATAAGGGAGAAGGGAGGAAGAGAGGGAGACGAAGGAGAAGAAAATGAGGTGACGGAGTCATGTGCCATGAACAAATGGCTCGACAACAAGGGCGAAGGGCATCAAAACTTACAGCAAGAGATTTTGGGCCCACACAGACGTACGACCCAACAGCAAGAGGGGCGCCGCAGTTGAGCCCTGGGTTGAGTCTGCAGACCAGCAAGGGAATGAGAAAGGGGAGCGAGTGAGAACAGGTGAGTAATATGAGACGAACCAAGGCAAGGTGGGCACTGCTGAGATTTCCATGATTGGACCACATGAGCAAAATATGAAAAGATATAGAATGAAAGAGAAATAGAAAGTGGGGGAGGGGGGAGGTGGCATGGTAAACAAGCAAGCTGAATGGGTGGGAAATACTTACGAAATGAAGGCTGACGTGGTGATCATGTTTTTTGTGGAGATTGAAGCACACGTGTCTCCAAAGACCACCGAAACACTTTGCCCACACTGTGAAGCTGACGACGCAGAAGATGCTGAAACCATTTGAATACAAATCTGCTGCGACTTGAACAGGCGCTTGCACGATAGTCCAGGGTTGTTTATGCCGAGGGCAGTAAGAGAACCGTCGAAATAATTGTTTGCTATAGAAGCACAAGTATCAGAAGGTCGGACGGTGTAAATGCTGGTGCAGTAACTTGATGACGAAGTTACTGTTCCCGAAACGGTAAGCACAACTCCAGGGGGCAGATACTCTGTATCGGAGCAGTTGATGAAAGTGTTGAGGGCGGTGAGGGTGGCTGTCGAAATGCCGAAATCTGCTGCGACAGTCGTGCAGTTGTCGCCAGGGACGGTAACATACGACTTCGCGAGACCAGCCGCAGGCACGCACGTCGTCGAACCGTCCACCGCTGCACCAATCGCATATCCCGCAGCGCACGCGCACGTGTACGTCCCGTCGCCAACATCTGTGCATGTTCCGCCGCGACACGGATTCACATTCGAATTTGTGCACGGATTACGAGGCGCGCATTTCGACGTGGGTGTTCCCACCACCTCAACCATATTCGGCAGCATGCTGCAGTTGCATTGCACCAAGCCGTTGTTGATGTAGCACGTCCCCGCGCCGCATGGGTTGATAGTCCCCATGCAAGGCTGCGTGGTACTAATCGTTGTCGTAGAGCCGATTAGCAGCGAGGATGAGTCGGACAAGGTTGGGTCGGTGACTGAAGCGAGCATGACGTCGGTTGAGCTCGTAGTTGTGGTGGTGGTCGTCGTTGAAGTACTCAGACTTGTATCGGAGATGGTGGTGGAGGTGGAGAGGGTGGAGGAGAAGAGCGACGACGAGAGGTCGTCCACTTTGTTGATATTCCACTTGCCGCGCTTGTCGGAAGCGAAGCGCGCCGGCTGCGGGCCGGTTGGGTAGTACACCGGATACATGGCGGGGTTTCTGCGAAGATGGCGGGGACGGATTATTGGAAACTGAGTCGACGATGGGGAGAGGAAAGGGTAGGCGGATCAAGAAAAACGACATCGCGGACCTATTAGAAAGCCTTCCCGTCCCACTGAGCTTAAGTCCACAAGTTACTGGTCGAAACGCACGAAAGGATTTACTTACGAGAGGAGGCCGCACTTCCCGCGCACGTCGGGCGTCATGGCGAGGTACATGTAGCCCCGGTCGC